TGAGAGAGAGAGAGAGAGAGAGAGAGAGAGAGAGAGAGAGAAAGTGGAATTATCGAATACGATTATCGATCGATCGATCGATCCAGGAACTTTACAGGAATGGATTTTCTTCTTTCTTGTTGTTGTTGTTGATAAATGTCAAAATATGGATTTTTTCTGACTTGAATCGATATTTATTCAATTGATATTTTCGATTTTGATTTTGATTGATTTGACTTTTAACATTTACCTTTTTTATTCACGGTTTTTATTTCAAATGAAAAAAATTAATTTTTTTTGAAATTTTTGTTTCAATTACCAACCACTAGATGTCAACTCTAGTCAGGCATTATTACGTAATCGAATAAAATTACAACAACAGAATTTAGCACGTTCATATCTTTATCATTCATCATCGTTGGATTTAGAGCCATCGACGACATCGTTCGATCATCAACATCGATCAACACCGCCACCATCAACGATATCAACACAATCATCACCACCACCGCCACCAACAATATTACCAAGAAATCCAAAACGTGTACATTATGCAAATCAACCGATAACATTTAGTAAATCATTGACAACAGCAGCAAATTGTGAAAGTCCAATGTTATCATCAATAACAACAACAACAACAACAGCGACAACAACAACAACAACTGGAACAACAACAACAATAAAACCATTACGACCGGCAATATTACCAAGGCAAACATCAACAACAACACCAATCATACAAACAAAACCAATACAAATTCAAACAACAACAACGACAACAACAAATTTGGCGGGAAAATTTTCAAATGGTAAGTGTGTCGGTATTTCTTGGTAGTTTAAAAGGGTTAACAAAATCAAGCCAAAATATCTAATTACAAAGAACGTTTTTGCTGTTCCAAAGCACACAGAGGGAGTGAGAGAGTGAGAGAATTTGTGTGATTGAATCCAGATGAATTTGAAATGAGCCAGATTCTAGAATCTCTTGATTGAATAGATTCTATACCAAAAATGAATAAAACTGGTGAATTTCCATTGGATTTGGATGATGCTAATTTTATATGCAAACAAACAGCAGACGAAAAATTTGCTTTTTCCGATGAAACTGATTTCGATGATTATGACATTTTTTTCGCCAACCAAATTAGCATCATAAAGCAAAAAATATGAATTCCATTGCGAAAAATGAATGAATGGAATCTTTTTTTTTGACAAAAATCACCAGATTTTCATGTTCAATCAAGATTCAATTAATTTGAATTTTATCTTCGTTTTTGGTTTTGAGAATGATAATTAGTAACAGATTACTTACTGTGCAAAAAGAAAAATTCCCGAAAATTTTATGGAAATTTCCCGAGAGCTTTCTCTCTTGTTGTTACTTGATGAAAAGTTTATTTGCATTTTTTTTTTTTTTTTTGGTTCACTTCATTGTCATCATCATCGATTTGATGTTTTTGTTTTCCTGATTCCATTGTCTAAATTGACAAAATGCCGCCAAAATGAAAAAAAAATTCCTGGTTCCATATTCTTGGTTCGAACAGAAAAAAATTGCGCATGAATTTTTTTTTTCCTCACCAAGAATCCATTCATTGTATTCACTGCCGAAACAGAATATTCTTTGGCTTTTGTTTTCTTTGCTTTTGGTTATTGTGTCCGTTTGCCGTTTCCAGATATTCGAAGAAAGCAAGAAAAAAAAAATCATTTTCATTTTCACCATTGACTTTGTTCAGTGAAACAGTCATTTTCATTTGCTTTCGCTCTCTTGGTTTGTTCGCAATTCTTGTGTTTGGCAATCTGATAAATTTTTTTTCCAATTGATTTTCAATCGATTTTTTATTTGGTTCAAAAAGAAAAAAAAATTTAATGGGTTTTGAGTGATGAAAACAACAAAACAAAACTGCTGAAAAGTGTGAATTCCGTGAAAGAAAGCAAACAAATTCCACCATTGACCGGATTCTCTTCGGAATTTTTTTCTCGTTTGTTTTTGTAATGAAATAAAAAAATGAATTTCAACAACAGAATATCTGCATAAATAAATTTTTTTGTGAATAGACTTTTTTTTGGTTTGGGTTTGGGTTTTTTTTGTGTTAATCATGATTTACGGTCCAATTTGTTATCTTGGTAAACATAATAATAATAATAATAACAATCAACAACAACAACAACAACATCATTATCATCATGAAAATAATGAAAAATTCTTGATAAAATGTAAGTTTTGTGTTTTTCTGTTCTGTGTTTTGAATGCGGGGGGGGGAAAAAAAGAGAATTCATTGAAATTGGACTTTCGGATCATAATGGTAATGATATTCTCTCTCTCTCTCTGTGTGTGTATGTGTATTCCGTGTTTCAGAATTCATTTCAGAAATTTTTGATTTTGATTTTTTTGGCTTAATTTTTTGTTTGTTTTCCTATTCTAACGTTCTACACACACATCATGATGATCATTGTTATCAAAAAAAACATAAAAAGTTTGTTTTTGTTTTTGTTTTTCCTGAATCGTTGGTGGTCCGTGCATTAATGTTTTTTGTTGTTGTTGTTGTTGTTTTTCATTACAAAACGAAAACAACAACAACAAACAGAAGAACAACAACAACAAACAAAAAAAAACATTCCAATTCTTTTCCTCTCTCAATTCCAGAATTATGATCCGAAAAAAAAAGAATGTTTCAAACATTACTTTTCATGGTTTTTTTCTTATCCGTTTTATGGACAAGAAGTGAGAAAGAGAGAGAGAGAGAGAGAGAGAGAGAGAGAGAGAGAGAATTTGAGAAAGTGCGAAAAATCATTTTCATTCATTTTTAATGGAATCTAAAGCAAAGCAA